CATGAAACTAAGATGCATTATCACTTTGAGTGTATCACGGGTGAATGACCTGAGAAGAAAAGGAAGTTTTCAGACAGAGTTAGTGACTCATCTCTGGCAAGGACAAATTTTATCAGCCCACTCACTGCAGGCATAGACTAAGTGCAAGTCATTAACAAACATCATGAAAAGCCATTACTTAAATAAGCTAAATATCTACTAACAAGGTGGAGATTCTAGCTGTGTCACACAAGTTTAAGTTCTAAAACCTGGCAGATACAGTTAGAAATAATGCCTAGATTGTACCATGCTGTAACATCTTAGCATCACCAAAGATGTGTCCTGCCCATGCTAAGCCACTGAATGGGATGGGAAGCCACCAGGAGCAGAACAATCACCCACTAGAACACAAGTGTCACGCTGTCCTCTGAGGAAAAGGCTGGTCTTGGGTATAAGCTGTGATTATGTTCAAAGGGGACAGAGAGTAAATCTCAGCAGGTCAGAACTGAAACTGTAACATCAATATGTACTTCACAGCTGAATGTCTAAGAGTAGTAGGGACACTCATTAGCTACAAACCCATGATTGTAAATGTGCACGCAATATTATGAGGCATGCTGAAAATAGAGACTGCCTGAGAAAAGGAGGGCTCCCAGCCTCGAGGAGTCTCAGTTAACTTCCCAAGCCCTCAGGCTGCTCAGTTCCACAAAATGGAGCTATATTCCTTTGTCTGAATACTCAGCAAGCCTACCAATCACACGTTTCAAGCATGTTCCAGCAAGAACTGCAATTAAAGCAGGCCATCAAAGCTACAGCATCCTGACAAGCTGATCAGACCACAGACACAGCACACTGCAACAGCAGCCCCACTTGATATGCTTTTTAGTCAGTTGATGCAATACCTATGCCCTAGACAGTACTAAAGCAGACAGCAAAGAGCCTGACAACATGGGGACACACATGAAATACCTACCCAATTACACTGGACCATTGCAGTCAACCCTCAGGAAACAAGCAGAGTAGCCCATCAGAAACAGATACCTAAAAACTCAAGTCCTGCTCTATGTGACAGCAGATCCTCTCCTGAGGCACAACAGAGAGGGGACACAGGGACCAGCAACCTTCTGCAACTGAACAGTCAATGACCTGAGGCCACTGTACACAGCTGAGAAGATCAGGGGATAAAGGCCATGAGCTAGACCCACAGCCACAGCTAGCCAAAAGCACAGGGGAAACAGCAATAGCTGTCATTTTAGTAAACTTGCAAAGGCAAATCTGAACATCATTATGAAGAAAAGAGCATGCTGTCAGCATACAGCCAATAGGCAGTGCTGAAAGCAGGAGGGCTTAGGAAGAGCCCCAGCACTCCAGGGGGCTAACACAGAAAGACTGTTCAGAAAAGAGGACCAGAAAAGCTAAGATAGCAAACTGGAAGAGCAGCAGAAGCCAGATCCTCAAGTAGGCTGCATACCAGTGAAATTTGGGCTTTAACAAGTCTGTTACAGCTTGTACTGGATCATGGTTTTAGTAGTTATTAAGACAAGTCACAGCAACTGAGAAGGAAATTGAAGAGAAAGGCACAAAATGCAGGACAGGAGAGTCTGGAGAAAGCAGAGGAATGTACTCAGAATGAACTGCAGCAGCAGTATCTCCGTAAATAAGTCTAAGGAACCCACTGCCTTTCTCTAAGTCAGTCAGTACTATTAGCCAGCAAAAACACATGGTGCAAGCTGGACAATCTTGGTATTCTGCAGACACACATATGTAACTTACACACTATCTAAGGCACGGGGAAGAGCAGCCAGCAGCAATCCAAGCAAAGGGCAATAGCTTATATCCCAATTTAGCATGCCCACTATTCTTATTGTTGCTGCTATTATGTTATTTATGGCCATGGACTGAAACCTAGACCTAAAACCAACAAAAGCCACCTACACACAACAGGCTCAACTTTGAGGCTCTGCATATTACATTGATTGTACACCCACACTGAGTACCAGCCTAAGGTCAAATAAATCGCTTAACTGCTAACACACAGTAGGAAATCTGTGCTCCTTGTCTTTACTAGATACCAGGCAGAATTTCAAAGGATGTGTACCCAGCTGAGGGGAATATTTGGCACACAAAGTACTGTAAGTGGCTCCAGGTAGTAAATTGGTCATTGCTCTACACTGCCAGCATTAGTACTGCTCATTGTCTGCATTTGGGCCCAATATCTCAGCACTGGCAGTCAGTTGTTACTCAGACATACCAGGATTATTGTTATCCATGCACTAATGTTTACTCACAGAACAGAAGCAGCTGGTGGCTGTAGGGCATCCCTTCTGGTGTCAAAACTCTCCTATCACCTCAGCTTTGAGTAGACTTTCACTTAAGCCAGTGGGGGTTTGTTTCATTCAACTCCTTCCAGAGATCAAGATTTATCTCGTTCAGTATTTATTAATCACTTTTATGGTCTTGCTGTGGTAAAGCTCTTTCTTCTTTACCTTTTCTAAAGCCATTCACTGTTAAAGCACTAACACTCTTCTCGCAGGCAGCACAGTGAGAACCGAGAACAGAATGACCTCCTGTGGCAATTCTGCACATAGCTTCATCACTGCCACTAGCAGCAGGGACTGCAGACAGCTTTTGACATCCATTTATCTCTCAATATCAAATTGCAGTAAGTTTCCTTTCCTCACAAACAGTGACATTTTTTGGTGGCCAAGTTCTTCTAGAAATGAAGTAACTTCAACACAATTGGCATTGCACTGATGGCTTTGAGTAGCTTTCAAAACAAAAGTAATTCCTATTGGCCATGAACCTCAGCAAGTGGCCCCTTCCATGACAGCATCAAAATATCCCAGTGAGAAATCTAAAAGCAGGATTTGGACTGGAAGAGACCAGTTCCAAACCTCTGCCATGGGCAGTGGGGGACACCTTCCACTACACCAGGTTGCTCCAAGCCCCATCCAACCTGGCCTTGAACACTGCCAGGAATGGGGCAGCCAACCTGTGCCACTGCCTCACCACCCTCATAATGAGCACTATTTTCCCCAATGTCTAATCTTCAGACCTACAAAGCAGCACCTCAACATAACTAATGAATCCTCCCAGCCTTCTGAAGATGTAGGGAGATACCGATAATTTAAGGAGGCAAAGAGTGATTTAATCACAGTCATACAATGAGATTAAATGAGAGCTGGGAAAGCACCCTTTGAGTCCTAACACCTAGCTATGCTGAAGCCTCCTGGCAATAGGAAATGGTGTGCAATAGCTAAGATAGAATTTAATTATTACTACGGGCATACTTCCCTGGTCCATGCTTAAACAGTTTATGGTCAGTTTCTCCTGCATCATTTTTATTTCACAAATAGATTCTTGGATTCTTTAATTACTGGAAAAACAAAAGAATAATCTCAATATTAATCACCTCTTAATCCAATGCTTAAATTAACAGATGACAGTAGAAATAAGTAACAAGCACAAAGTAATAGAAAATGAACTTTTACCTACAAAATTGGTTGCTGCTCTAAGAATTTATACTAAGAAGTAAGAGAACTTAAAATCTATCACTATACAGAAAACAACTACAAGGACAGAAAACAAAATGAGGCAATATTATGTCCCTTGCTCACTCATATACTTGCATAGCAATTAAATACTATCAATGAGTATTTTAATCTGTATCCTGAGAAAAACATAAAACCCACATACCAACTTTATTCCTGATTGTGAGGACACTTGGTTAAAACAAGCAAGGATTTCTAGCCAGTTGCATCAAAGTCTCTCATACCCAGGGGAAGAGAAAGGGACACAGCACTCGAAGACAGAAAAAACATCATCACCAAACAGTAGATATCAGTTCAGAAATCTTTCTAATAGTCAAAAAAGCAACACAACAATCCTGTTGTCTGATAGCCTGGGAATAGGTTTCAGCAAAGGAAAGAATACTGACAAATTTGAAGTCTGAGGTACTGTCAGAGCTGCGCACTATCAGCTAACGCACAGGCAGAACAGGAGGACATCTCCGCGGCTGTTGATGCTGTGTCTGCCCTACTTCCAAGTAACTGCAGCTCCACATAGCTCAGCCCAGCTGCTTTCAAAGCCCTGAGAAGCTTGGGGTGAGTGGGGTCTGTGGTTTGGGTTGGTTGGTGGCTTTTTTTCCACAGCAATTAAACGCAGTTTAATAATTGGTCATGACTTTGATCCTTCAAACCACAACTTAGCGGTCAGATTTTGTAAAGCTTTCTGGAACAGGATGCAGATAACCTGCCACAGAATTTCTATGTGCTCTGTGATGGGTTCAGAAAGAAGTCTTTATTAGAGCTCATGCTTGTTTACTCCTGTCAAAGAGCACTGTCATTCCAATTCTGTAATTAAATCCACAATTTTGACAGCTGAAACTGTAGGAATAATTGCACTCTTAGTCAAAGTAAGTTGCTACTGTTCAGACTGTTGCCAAGACTGTTTTAAAGGCTTCTGCTGTTTACTTCAAAAAAAAGCTAAACTGAATCTTCATCCATTCCACCTCACTTCATTTCTGGAGCAAAGATCTTAAAAGCTTTCCTTTTGCTAGGCAATCTGGAAGTCCAAAACAAGACTTTCTACCATACTATTGCTACATTCCACAGTAACATAAACACTACATAACCATTTTCATTGATCAGTAAGTTATACATATGACACATTTGACATAATCCTGTGTCTCTATCCCATAAACACATTTTTCACATGTGAAAAAAAAAAATGAAGCCAGTCACAGTGTTTCAGAAATCTTGGAGGACTTGGGACACCCAATTCACTGAGAACACATACTCCCAAATTCCTTTGCTGTACCAGTATTATACATCCCAATCTACAACATCATTTCTTTTATGAGACCAGGGAGCCAAACATTGAAAAAGTCTTTCCAACCACCTTTATTTTTCAGCCAAAGTTTAGAGCATGCCAGCACAATACCAACCGCAAAGGAAGAGACTGCATCTCAAAGTTGCTGGTAACACAGGCAACCACAGCAGACAATAAAATGCTTTACAACAAAATGCTTTACAATAAACTCTGGCATTCAAAACCCAACTGTGCAATCATTCAGAAATGTTTTAAGCAGAAGAAAGCAGCTCATAAAACACTGTAGTGAGATGTGCACCCTGTATAGCTTGTCTTTTCTGCACCTGAAACAAAAATGGTTCAGTCAATAAAACACGATGCACTAGAGCAGCAGCTACTCCACAAAGGTCTCCCCTTCTTACTACTCAGGTATGAGAAACAACAAGGACAGCCTACTGCCAGTATTGCCAGATCTCATGTAAACACCCAGAAAGCCCAGTGAACAAATAGAGAAGCTGGGAGAAAAGCAGGAAGCCACGTCTGACATCCAAAATACAATTAAGGGAAGGGTTAGAAACACGTAATTTACAGATGGAGGCCCTTTGCAAAAGGTTCTTCCTTTTACAGTACCCATCAAGCAAATATACTCCTCCCGAGAAGAAGATGACTTAGCTATATCAAAAGCATCTGTGTTGTATTAAGAGTTTGGGGTGGGGAGGGGGAAGACACCAAATATGCTGGACAATGGAAAGCCTCTCAATATCCTCATTTGCAGTGCACAACCAAAACCTCATTCAATACCTACAGCATTTCAGCCATATTTGGATTTGGTTTATTTCAATGCATTCTATGCAGAACTTCATCTATCAAAACTGTCAGATGACATTTTTTTATACCTTATAATATAAAACTCCAGGTTGTGTTACAATTCCCTCAGCAGCAAAAATGGGGTTTAATTTTTCCTTCCTCAGAACAATGAGACATCCACTACCAGTCAATTCCACTGAAAACAGTCAAGAGATCTAAAAAACCACTACTTCTTGAACATTAAACAGGTACTGGGAACTCATTTGGGGATATTTGGGAACTCTTGGAATTAGAGTATCTTCAGATCTTGTGTGTGTTTTCCATATAAAACTGAACAGACCTTCACTAAAACAGTGATATATTTAATAATTTCCTATTCACAAAGCTTGTTTGTTCCTCATAATTAAATCAACAGGATTGAGTCCTGCCTCTCCAGAGGCCTTCTATAAAAGCACAGGCTGCACTTCAGACTTTGATCGTGCAGATGTTTGGAATAGCTTGACTCTGCCTGTGCTTCAAAGACGATTATAACTTGCTCAAAAATTCTTTGACCTGCAAAAAGAAATAAACATGGTCAAGCAAACTAAGTATTCATCAACAGAAACATACAGCAACTACATTTACCTCCCCAGTGCTTTATGCTTTACTACAACCTACAGAAACAGGAGCTGGGAAAAACAATCTTCGGCTCAGCTATACCATTTCTTGTCCACCAAGAACTTTTTAGTTCAGGTATAGAGACACACTCAGTGGAACGATGCTCATTCCTCCTGTGGTGCTAAACTATGGCCCAACATTGCAAACGATTTATCTTAAAAGCAGGTCTAACCTAAACACAAGGATCTCAACGAGCATGAGCATCTCAAAACACTGGCATTTGGAAAACACTAAGTCACACCCACTGCCAGAAAATTGCTCACATTTCATGTCAATGAACAACCCAACATATCTAATTACTATGTTCCCTGGAATTTGAGGATGGCATTTAAATACTAAAACATTACCCAGCAAAACCATAGTTTCTGAAAAAAAAAAAAAAAATTATACTGTCGTGGTTTAAACCCAGCCAGCCAGCTCGTTCACTCACTCCCCCCCTTTCCTCCCTCTTTCTTTCCTTCCTCCACGCCCCCCCCCCCCCCCCTTCCCACTCCCAGAGGGATGGGAAGGAGAATCAAAAGAATGCAACTCCCACAGGTTGAGATAAGAACAGTTTAGTAACTAAGGTATAACACAAATCACTACTGCTACCACCAATAATAATAATGATAAGAGAAATAACAAGGGAAGAGAATACAACACCTCAGGACCAGCCAACCAATAACTCGCGCCCCCCCAGCCCAACGAAGCACCGACTGATACCTAGTCTAACCCCGCAGTCCCTAGCCCTTCCGGGTAACTCTCAGTTACATCCTGGGCATGACGGGCTATGGTATGGAATACCTCTTTGGTTAGGTTGGGTCAGGTGTCCTGTCTCTGCTTCCTCCTGGCTTCCCCTCCTCCCTGGCAGAGCATGAGGCTCACAAAGTCTTTGGCCAGACCAAACATTTGAGCAATAACTAAAAACATTGGTGTTATCAGCTCTATTCCCAGGCCGAAAGTCAAAACCACAACGCTGCACCAGCTACTAAGGAGAAAAATGACTGCTACTGCTAACCCCAGGACAAAGAGCCGTAGAGTTCAGGTACTGTTGAACTCCACTTCCAGTATTTGAAGAGTGGCTCAAATGGCTACAGCTACCCAAAAATCAATAGTGGCCCATAGAAAGCTATCTAGAACCCAGAGTAAGAAATCCCTGATCCCACAGAGAGTACCAAGACAGCACAGCACCTCAAATAATCCATGCAATGGCATGAGAACTAGATCCAAACCAGGCAGCATGCTACCACTGCATTTCTAAGTGTGGTCACTTTAGACAACATCTTAAATTCAGGTCACTACCAAAGGTGGCAGGAAGACAATATGCTGAGAACACGCTTCTTGCCAAAGGTCTGCGTTCTGCCTTGGGCCCCTCCCCAGAAGTAAAGGAGTAATCCTTCCTCCCTTTAAAGCCTCAGGGCAGCAAGGGCCAGGCCACCTTTTTTAAAATGTAAGATCCAAGGAATACAGGGCATGAGCACACAACTTCCATCTCCCAGTTTCAAGAGCATCCTAGCAACTAAGCTGCAATATAGCCTGAACAGGGACCATTTTCCTCTGTCCCCTCAAGCTTGACTACTGCCTAGAAAGGACTCAACAATGTTACTAGAGAATATGGTATTATTCCTTTGGCAGAAGCTCTCATACACAGAACACATCTGTAACCATTTTGTCCAAATTCTTCATGTGAAATAGAAACAGATCTTCAATAATGTTCTCCACCTGTGACCCTTCCTGTTCTAGATGAGGGCTCAAGGAGGCAGAAAAAAATAGGCCAAAATCTCTTCCTGGAGAGAAGGAAAGACGTAACTGTGCCATTACTCTAACAGGGAAAGTATTATGTAAAAGCCCCCCTCCACTTCAGGAAGGACCAACAACACTAGTGCACAATGAACCTTAGCACTAGGCATAGTTTCAGGACAGGTCTCTGCATGCAAGCATCACAGCAGACGAGAAGGAAGGTTTTGGGTCCCCAGTGGACATAAGCATACACTGAAGGCCCAAGCACCCAGCCTCATGAAGACTGTAGCAGTTCTGGGACTCCACTTCAAAATGCCAAAAAACGGCTTAGGCTTTTCCCAGATAACCTGACAGCCCTGCACGAGTAAACTCCTCTGAAGTCTCTACATAGATGCTTGGGTTTGGCCTTTTCTCATGGTGCAGATGGGAAGCATTTTCACTCAACAGCTGTGATGTCCAGTCATTCCATCAAGTATCAAGCTTTAAAAGAGCAAATCCCATGAAGACTGGTTTTAATCAGATGAACAGTTCTACTTCTCAGAGGATCAACTGAGATCAAAGGACAAAGCTGCTCTTCTTGTGAGGTAAACACTTTATTTCCAAAGAGCAAAAATATTTGCACGTACCATTGCTAAGGTCTGTAACTCATTGCAACTACTCGAACAAAAGTCGTCCTCAGCTGAATCCCAAGGTTCAAATACCAAAAACCAAAACAGTTAAAATGCTGATTGTTTGGCCTAGCTTTAAAATATCCATTACATCTTTCATGCTAAGGATTACATCTTCTTAATCCAAGCAGAAACCTAAACCTGAACTCTTTTTATATCAAATAAAGAGTATTTTTCCATGCCTTCAAATAAAACTAAGAAATGCTTCTGATGAATATTCTGCATTAAGTCTGAAATGAAGTACAAAGCTACATTTGAAAAGTACTGCCTCAAGTTTCAGACCCTGCTTTTGAGGGTTTTGACTAACACTTTCATGAACACAACTGAAGGGAAAAACATTCATGATAGTGCCAATTTAATAAAGAACGGTAAAAATATTGCAGCAGGCTGTAAGACTGTTCAGTACCTGAATATAACTCCATGACTTAAATATTTTAGATGGATGGTTATACACTGAAGTGTATTTTTAGAGCAAAGGATCCCTGTTTGCATCAGCTGGACTGCCCTTTGTTGTGACAAGTGAACCAGGATGGGGACAGCCCATACTCTACTTTGTTTAGCTAGAGAGATCTACAGAACCTAAAATCATTTGCCACTGGCTTACTCATCCTTCAGTTTTCCCTTGTACTGGTTTTGTACTGTATTTTCACAGTACAAGGCACCAAAGTTCTTTTATTCACTAGTCCTGTAGTTGAGACACTTGCACACCTAATACAAGGAAGGCTTTCGAACAGTTAACAGATATTTAAAATAAAAATTCCATTTACAAACAAAGCTACTAATCAAAGTCTTCTCAAATATGCCTAATATGCCTGGAACATTTCTTTCCTTTCATTTTTTCATTTTTTTTTTTTTTAAATGAAATTTTATGTAGGAAATACCATGAAAAGCCACAGGTTCTAAGTCTAGTCTGACTTCAAACAGTGCTACACATACAAGAAGTACCCTGAATTTCTTTTGACATGCTGGCAATACACCTCACTCATAAGTTTGTTCTGCTTATGAAATCTTACCTTTTCAGTCATGTGATCATATCTGTCCTTTTTGCTTTTGAAGTCTTCGTTAACATCTAACATTAAAATGGGTATTTCCTGGAGATACTCAAAATCTGTTCTGTATTGGGATAGGAACACAGAAAATGTTAGTAGCTTAAAACAAGTACCCACCATTCAAGTCTCTGTCAGCATTTTCCTTGTCAAGAACTCAATGACAACTGCACATATAATCTACAGCTACGAACTCTGAATATAAAGCAGCCTGAATTTACAGCGGCATCTAAGATACATTACTGATTCTCAAACATTCTCTTCCCAGCACCTAAAGTTAAATTCAACTGCGTATTGAATTAGCTCAGCTGAATCCTCTGCTATTCAGAGCTCTATGCGAAGAGAACTCAAGGCACATTGCATGTCCTAGTGATAATTAACATGCTGTCAAGCCAGTACTACTAAAGAACTACAGATAGAAACATTCCCGGCGTTTAAATTTACATATCATAGGAAAAGGTCAACTTTCACTGGTTGAAAAAACACTATGAAATATCCTTACAAGGATCAATCCATCTCTAAGTAACCATTAAACAAACCCTACCGCAGTGTCCTATGCTGAAGCCAACTTTCATGTTTGTGGTGAAGCTTCTCCAGATATTCTATGGGAATTTCTTGCTCTTCATCTCTTCCACGCAAGTAAATCCTATTTAAGCATTTCTAAAGGCAAAATATAATAATTAAAAATTATTTAAAAAATAATTAAGTTTCTGAACACCTACAGAGAAAGTATAGTTTGCTGAAGTTTCTTTTGCCAACCCTTCCTACTGCGTTCAATATGCCACAGCCAAAGATGAATATTCAACTTGCTAACTATCTTACTGTCATAGAAACAACATGCCATGTTCAGCTCATGGAGCCCACAGACTACACACTAAATCAAAGGGGGACCCAAGGAAATGTAACATATTATTTCTCCACTACAAGGAAAGTCTCAAATAAGCTCTTTATTGAAAGAAGGGGTACCATGTATTGCATGAAAAGAGCACAGACACGCATTTCAAAATCTCTGTATATATTTCTGGCTCTTAGGAACCCGGTTTTCCCATGTAGTTAATCATTTGTTCCTGTCCTGAACACATCCCTAACCTCAACGAGATGTCAAACAATACTGTTTAAAACTGTTGTACTTTCTGATTTAAATATAGGTTCTTGACTTGGGGGGGGGGGGGGGGGGGGGGGGGAACGAAGAAAAAGAGCCCTAAATAGCAAGCCTAGCAAAAAAGCCCTCAGAGAAACTGTAGTTTACAATTCCAGTGGTATTTTCTGGTTTGCTCTTGCTGTATATTGTTTCTATAATTAGAAAAACATTATCATCACATTTTATTAAAAAATACATAGGCTACATTTGAAAGAACATTCTTTTCTTTAAGTATTTCCAGACTGATTAGTCATAACTCAAGCATTGTAGCCTTCAGGGGAATACTGCAACCTGAACTGAAATCATTAGGACTGTTACAGCAAAAGATAAGATAGCTCAAGATTTTAAGAATATCACATTTCAACAAGCATTTTTCAACTGTTTCTTTGCCTGTGACAGACAAAGACACAGTGACACATAACTGTGACCTTACTGGAGTTGACTGCACTACTCTGTTATCATAAAAAAGGTCTAAAATTATAGTTAAACCTTATACTTAAAAAATACTATGGAAGCCTAAGGACAGATTAAATTTTACAGGCAAGGCACAGAACATGCACTCTCATTCTCTGTGAGGTCACACCTCAGGAGTGGCTCTGAGATAAATGATGCCATCCAGTGCCAGCCTCTGACCAAACTGCTGATTCATCCAGTTGTGCCAGTCTTGGTAAATAGCCCACTCAGTTTCATTCATGCAATCGGACTCGTATAAATTAGCTGCAAAGATGTACCTGTGAACACAAAGTAGTTATGGAAACAGAAGTTAGCTTGAACACAGTTCTCGCTTTGTTTGCCTCAAGTACTGCACTGTAAGCAGAAAAGAAGCTGAGCACAGTAATTCTGCAACTTCTTTGAGGCATCCTTGGAGTAGAAACAAACAGCTGGTATCCTCATTCTCTATGTCCACTGCAGCTGGCCAGAGATGTGTCCTCAAGAAGCAGTAACACTGGCAGCTCAGATATCAAATCTAACTTTCTTAATTATCAACTCTAACCTTCTGAACCCAGAAAAAGGGTACAGCATTAGGAAATAGCTATACCTGTAATCAAGGACCATAAAAAAAAACAAGGCTAAGTGACAAAGGAAGAAATAGCTTGTGACTCTTCTTGATGCCTGTTCCTCTCCTTTCTTTGAAGGGAAACATGCATGTACAAAGCATAAAAAAAAACTATGCACAAAAGAAACTACAAATCCTGTTAACTGATAATATACAGCAAAACTACAAACCCTCTGACCAGTAATTTCACTTAGAAGAATTTTGATCTTCAAAGGACCCCAATCCAACGTACCTGTCACTGTAGACAGATCGCTCGAAGAAGACGACAGGATTCTCTGCCTCCCTGAGCTTGCCATCGAGGGATCTAAGCTGAGCCCGGATCCTGCTCAGGCACGCATATGTCTGGAAAGTGAATGACCACCTCTCTGGCTTCTCATACATCATCCGAAGCACATTTCCTCCACTCTTCTGTGATGTGGTCAGCTCCTGATTGTCAACAGAGACCCCTTAAGTGGAGAAGGTGGATGATGAATGTGACAGAATAGCTCTACAACACTGAAGCTGTACAGCCTTTATTTCAGGTTTATAGCTGCTTAACTTGCTTCTCAACCTCTTTGTAATACAAGGCATAAATATCAGAAATGTTATTCCTCCTACGGTGCCGAGCAGAATAAGCAGCTCTCTGCAATTCACAATGCCAAAGTACCAAACCACTTTGGTCACCAATTACAAGCTTTAATAAAAGAACAATATCCTACCAGTACAAAAAAAAAAAAATCAACAATGTGGTAGAAAAATCCATGTTCCTTTTACTCTGACAAGTGTGAGCTTAAAGCTGGATTTATTTTGGTTTTTCATCTAGCAAGAGAAGAAAACAGCAATTTAATAAGTCCAACTTCAGGGATTACTATGATGGATTTGAAATTTTATGTTATGCTTGCTGGACCTGACTGGGATGGAGTTAACCTTCCTCATAACAGCCCATACAGGGATGTGGTTTGTGTTTGCAGCCAAAACAGCATTAGTAACCCACCAGTGTTTTGGCTATTGCACAGCCTCAAAGCTTTCTCCCTTTCCCAGTCTGCCTCCCAGCAAGCGGGCTGGGGCAGGCAGGAACAGAGCTCGGAGAGCTGACCCCAGCTGCCAGTGGGGGGTCTGTGCCACACCACAGAATGTCACACCTCCATTAAAAGCTTCCATTTACTTCAGCAAAATACGCTGTACTTTTTGCCAAAAGAAAACTCTTCTACAGTTCCGCAAAAGCTCCACACAGCCAGAATTGTGGCCACTCAGTAGGAGCTGGATTGCCAACAGTATTACAGGTAGCTGACTGAAAAAACATCATTATAAACCATTTAGCAGTAGTTCATTATTTCCTAGACATTTTAAGGGACACCTTCCAGGGCACCTGGAGCAGAGGGTTCCTCTGCTCATTCACAGTTGATTAAAGTGACTTTAGTCCTCTCTTTTTTCCAGCCCTTGCTTTGATACGTAAAACAGAACAGACTTTTATAGCTTTTATAATTTACATCCTGACAATGAATAACACTTATTCTACAATTCACCAAGCAAACTGTAAGAGGAACTCAAATAGTGAGATAAGAATCAGGAAAAATGTTGCTATCACATGCATTTTCTAACAGACATTCTCTATCACATGTACCTGTCTTCTGAAATTAGAAGAACATTTGACTGGGTGTCGTGGTTTAAACCCAGCCAGACAGCTCATTCACTCACTCCCCCCCCTTTCCTCCCTCTTTCTTTCCTTCCCTGCTCCCTGAGGGATGGGGAGGAGAATCGAAAGAATGTAACTCCCACGGGCTAAGAATAGTCCAGTAACTAATGTATAACACAAATCACTACTGCTACCACCAATAATAATAATGATGATAAGAGAAAATAACAAGGGAAGAGAATAGGATACCACCCGCCAAAACAAGTCCGACCCAGAAGACCCCGTGACCTTCAGGGTAACTCCCAGTTACCTCCCCGGGCATGATGTGCTGTGGTATGGAATACCTCTTTGGCTAGCTTGGGTAAGGTGTCCTGTCTCTGCTTCCTCCTGGCTTCCCTTCCTCCCTGGCAGAGCATGAGACTCACATGGTCAGGGTAAACATTACTTAGCAACAACTAAAAACATTGGCGTCATCAGCACTGTTCCCAGGCTGAAAGTCAAAACACAACACTGCACCAGCTACCAAGAAGGAGAAAAATTGACTGCTACTGCTAAACCCAGGACACTGGGGTTTGGCATTTTTTTGTTTTTAATAAGTTTTTGGAAAGAAACCTCACTTTCTTGTGCCATACCTCACAATCCTCTTCAGAGTTGGGCTGAACATTGCACCATCTCGCTACAGGCTCAGGTACAACTTCCCATTCCTCATCAGCTTGTTTGAGAATCTCCACAAAAGTTGATTTCCCTGCAGCTGTAGACAAAGCATCCAGGAAGAGTGGCTGTTAAAACCATTTTCACAAGGAAGAGTGGCATTACTTAACCACTATGGAATTCCAGTTTCAAGTCCCATAAGGAAGTCTCCCACACTCATGTACTTTTGACTGGATGTCAAGCATGAGACCATCCAATACCACAGATCACCAATTCAGTGAGCATCAGGTTTTTTTGTTTTATACTATACCAACAGCCAATTCAACAACAAAACAACAATGACAAGATGTCTCAGCCCAGCTCAATTATCTACGTTATACAAAGTTACATTTGCAATTAGAACACCACATCCTAAGTTTCTAAGGATACTGAGTGGTCTTGTCCTAGGCATGGAGTTACAGCCTTCCAAGTTGTTTTAGGAAGCCAAAACAAACTCCACAAAGAAAAGCAAGCAATGTTGAAAGAAACACAGAGCAAAAGGGATGGTTTCTCAGAGACACCAAGGTGCGTTACCAATCACTTCCTCCAGCATGGAAGTCATTAATCTGCCACCAACTGAAAAATAAAAAGCTCAGGAAATTTTAAAGAGAGACACTCGAAGCTGACAGAGGCCATGAGTTGGCACTATCGATTGCCAATGTGGATCAGTAAATGAGCTGACAGCCCTGCAAGTCGGGTCCTGTTGGAAAACCAACACCCCAACACAAAACCAACACCCCAACACAAAAAAAGACGAAAAAATTCCCTGAAACACCAAGTCCCAAAGAAAACTCAAAATAACGACCCTCAAAACCCCAGACCTGAGTTTCTTATCATGAACAGTCCCTTACTCCTGCTCTTCACAACGGGCTTCTGGTCATTAGGAGTCCTGAACATGACAAGTTTCACCTGACAGCCTGCACCGACACCGCTGTTCCACCCTACAGCCTGGAAAGCTGTGAAAGAAGCCTCACCCAAGACTCAAAAGCATTTTTAATGAGGTGCATAAATTAAAACCTGAAGTAGAAAGCTTCCCCCTCCTACCCCCGCGCCTCCATCCTGCCATTTTTATAGCATCAATTCATTACTTTCTACGTTGCCAACACAAACTTATCAACGCTACCGGCGGGCTTGTCAGCACAACACACCCCGCCGGCCTGACTCACACCTCATTACTTCATGAAACGCCTTTTTCGCAGAGTAAGGCCGAGGAAGAGCCCAGTAAGGAGGGAGAGAGGAGGGAGGGATGGCGGCGGGCAAGACTCACCGATGTTGCCCTCGACCGCGATCTTCTTGATCCTGGCCTCCAGCCGTCCGCGCTTGGGAGGAGCGGCCATAGCAGCCAGCAGCGGTGTGAGGGGACAACGGCGCGCGAAACCGCCAACGGAAACAACGGCCGCCGCGCTCGAATCTGGCGCGCCACACGGCTCGAGAGGCGTCACGCGCCGCCGCGTAAGGGTGCCGTACCCGCGCCAGGCCGAGCAGTCGAGCCCAGCGCTGCGGAACTGCGGCAGCAGCGGAGCGGAGTGCATCGATGGGCGGGAGCCGGCCCCGCCCCAGAGGAGGGAGGGAGGAGCCGGGATGTTCTGTCGTTGAGGAGGCAGTGCTTCCGCCGGAGCTCAGTGGGAGCCGCGGGAGTGGGAGGGTCCGGGAGGAGACCGGATGGTGCCGCGGTTTGAGAAGCTTGCAGGAACATGTCAGTAGTCACACGCAGGTTGGGTTTAAGAGGGACCGAGGCACTTACTTAGAGTTGAAAACCCCCAAACACCCACTGAACTCGCACTTGACAGTGTGCTTCCCAGAGTACCATCCCAGCATAGCGCTATCTTGGTTCCTGAGGGTCCGAGTTCAGCAGGGAAAAACCTTCCTATCTCTGCGTGAGCAGCACGCACTGTGGTGTAAACCGTGTAAGAGTCACTCCTGGCACGGTCCCTCAAACACCCCCAGCCCCAAGACATACGAATTAACATAACTTCTTTAAGCCAGTGGCACAAACGACTCGCCAGGTGCTGCCAAGAGATGACTTAACAGCTACAGGCATGAGTGAAGGCAGAGGGAATCGCATGGGGGTAGGAAACCTGGAATGCTGCGGCTGGCAGGGTTGTAACAGGCTTTGGGGAGAAAGAAAAGGGGGAAGAAGGAGAAAAGGTACCTGGCAGTGTTCAAGGACAGGCTGGACAGAGCCTTTGGCAACATGGTCTAGGGTCTATTAACTGTTTTCCCTAAGTGTATCTGTGCAAAGTACCTGTTCCTTTCACAAATGCAAGGAAACTTCACCAAAGTGGCAGACCGAAGTTGATGCTTCCCTGTTAATAAAACTGGGCTCGGGCAATGGAAAGCCCAAAGCAACGTCAAGACATGTAACTACTTGTCATTTTGACACACCTTCATCATTCCTCTTTAGCAACCAGAACTTCACCATTGCTTTTCTTTATCAGAAATACCTACTTTTGAAAAATTCTATGTTGATGTCTAAAAAAATAAGACACATATTTGTACTAAAAGCTGGAGATCGTTGATTTCAGCAAGTTATGGCTTTTTTTTTTTTTTTTTTTTAGTGTAAGCATATATATTTTTTCCTAAAACAAGTAAGTGTCCTGGGTGTTCATATTTTCTGTTTCCAGCAATGCTCAGTATTGTATGTGCTTTGCACCTCAGAGTGAGTCAGCCAAGGCACTTCAGAATGTAAGCAAATCTTTCAGGGACTTCATGAGAATGAGCTACCACTGACACAATACAGAACCCATCCACCAGCAGAGTCAATCCCTTAACCGAGTATCTTTCCTTTATAAACACTCAGCACCTGCTAAAATTCCACAATGAATAACAGCAATGAAAAATAAAATTAAAAAAAAAAATTTACTCTGTGTTACAAACAGAAAAGATTTCCCCCAATTAAGGTACAGAAAATGGATTTGGCTGTTTGAAGTAACAGCTCAGGGGGGTTGTTTTGTTTGTTTTAAAAAACAAATTAACAAAACCCAAATACCACATGCTTGCTAAGAAGCAAGTGAATTCAAGAAATCCTTTTATCTGTCCTTAGAGGTGAGTTTCTCAATCAGTTCTTGAAGTGCAAGTTCTCTTCTATCAATAAGGTTGAATTCCTGCAACAATGATGAGGAGAAAGACATACATACAGGATTTTTTACGTGCAGATCTGGTGAGAAGTCTTATTCAGACAGAAGTTATTTGGTAGGAGGCTTTTAGAGTCCAGGCTTCACCACTGCATCATTTCCTGCCAGTCTGCTATTAGCATAAACCTAAGAGTAATCGTGCATTGGAAACCTGCCAGTTAGGAGCTTTGGAACAGTCCTTCATGCCTCTAGAAGCAGGGTTTTCTTAGAGTCATTGAATCACAGAATAGTTAGCATTGGAAAAGACCTTAAGATCATCCAGTTCCAACCCCTCTGCCATGGGCAGGGACACCTCACACTAAACCATGTCACCCAAGGCCTCATCCAACCTGGTCTTGAACACTGCCAGGGATGGAGCATTCACAGCTTCTTTGGGCAACCCATTCCAGTGCCTCACCACCCTTACAGTAAAGAACTTCCTCCTTATATCCAATCTAAACTTCCCCTGTTTTAGTTTTAACCCGTTACCCCTTGTCCTGTCACTACAGTCCCTAATGAAGAGTCCCTCCCCACTATCCCTGTAGGCCCCCTTCAGATACTGGAAGGCTGCTATGAGGTCTCCACGCAGCCTTCTCTTCTCCAGGCTGAACAGCCCCAACTTTCTCAGCCTGTCTTCATATGCAAGGTGCTCCAGCCACCTGATCGTTCTCGTGGCCTCTTCTGGACTTGTTCCAACAGTTCCATGTCCTTCTTATGTTGAGGACACCAGAACTGCACACAATACTCCAGGTGAGGTCTCATGAGAGCAGAGATCACCTCCTTCGACCTGCTGGTCAGGCTCCTTTTGATGCAGCCCAGGATATGATTAGCTTTCTGGGCTGCGAGCGCACACTGAAGCCAGCTCCCCCTTCTCCGCAGGGCTGCTCTGAATCTCTTCTCTGCCCAACCTGTAGCTGTGCCTGGGATTGCTCCAACCCAGCTGTAGGACCTTGCACTTGGCATGGTTAAACTTCATGTGGTTGGCATCAGCCCACCTCACAAGCATATCAAGGTCCCTCTGGATGGCATTCCTTCCCTCCAGGGTATCAACTGAACCACACAGCTTGGTGTCTTCAGCAAACTTGCTGAGGGCGCACTCAATCCCACTGTCCATGTTACCAACAAAGATGTCGAACAGGACCGGTCCAAACACCGATCACTGAGGGACACCACTCGTTACTGGTCTCCAGCTGGACATTGAGCCATTGACCACAACTCTTTGTGTGCAGCCATCCAGCCAGTTCTTTATCCACCGAGGGGTCCATCCATCAAATTGATGTCTCTCCAATTTAGAGACAAGGATGTCGTGTGGGGCAGTGTCGAACGCTTTGCACAAGTCCAGGTAGATGACATCAACTGCTCTACCCCTGTCCATCAGTTCTGTAGCCCCATCATAGAAGGCCACCAAATTGGTCAGGCAGGATTTCCCCTTAGTGAAGCCATGCTGGCTGTCACCAAGCACCTTGTTGTTTTTCATGTGCCTTAGCATGCCTTCCAGGAGAATGTGCTCCAAGATTTTGCCAGGCACAGAGGTGAGACTGACTGGTCTGTAGTTCCCTGGGTCATCCATTTTCCCCTTCTTGAAAATGGGGGTTATATTTCCCTTTTTCCAGTCGTCGGGAACTTCACCTGACTGCCATGATTTCTCAAATAGGATAAACAGTGGCTTAACAACTTCATTTGACAGCTCCTTCAGGACCCACGGATGGATTTCATCAGGTCCCATGGACTTGTGCACATTCAGGTTCTTAAGATGGTCTCGAACCAGATCCTCTCCTACAGTGGGCCTAAGGTCTTCATTCTCACAGTCCCTGCGTCTGCCTTCTAACACTTGGAACTTCTTATTCTTCAATACTTCTTGTTATTCTTCAGTAACAAGACTTCTTCTTGTTATTGTTTCCAAACTGGTGGCTGATCATTATTTTCCCTCTGCTTTTCTGAAAGAAACCTCTTAAAAACGTACATCTTCCATCTTCACTTGAAAGGAAAACAAATCAGTAACTTAAGATCAAAGATGGAGGAGACCTAGGAGGTAAGGCCTAGGAGGAGTTCCTTGTAAGGACCAAACATCTTCCCTGAATCAGAAAGCTGCGAGTTTGTACCAATTACTGGTTATATGTTTATTTCTAAGGTAAAAATCTAATGTTCAAAATGAAAAACAACAGATTTGATCAACATAGTCATTCATTATACAGTACTTCCTGCATTGAGAATTGTGATAGATATTTAATAGGAGTATTAACACATGGTTCAGAGTTCATGTACTACCACATCAATTTCATCTTAAGTGGTAAAAGCTCCTTTATATATGTAATGTAATCTTTAAACTTGCCCTACAGTCATATATGAGACCTTTCAATGCTGTAAGACTTGAATATTCCCGTACAACTGTAATCCAAACACAGTGTTCAATTTATTTACATTACCTATTTTAGGAGGAAATAGCATTTCATCATCCAGCTGATCCTGGACCTAAGTCATCAGGTAATCAATGTACTTCAGTACAGAGCACTTAATTGGTTTCCTTATGTTGGTCCCACCCGCCCAGTGGTACTCATATCTGGGTTGGAACAACAAGACGACATTTCTTAACACAAGTGAATCATTCACATCAATCCTGGAAGGCTCTTTCTGCTCCCCGTAATCCCACACCCTCCCACAGTCCTTCCTTGAAACTAAAGTCCAAGTGCTCCTGAGTCACCTGCAGCTGCTCTGTGCCGCGTCTCCCCACTGCAATCCTGCCTTAGCCAGACCCTCTTCTGCAGTCTGTGAAGGCCTTCAAAAACTTCGTCCTTTACAGCACAACTCATTCACCCTTGATTGCAACCCTCCCAAAATGCACATGGCAGCCTGAGGCCAAACCTGCATCCCTGTACGCCAAAAGGTGCTGTATGAGTAGGTTTCCAAGTCCTGGATGGCCAATAGCTTCTTAGTCTCTTCTAAAGCTTCCCCCCCTCCAGGAGAAAACCATTACAACCTGTTGAAGTGAAACATCAAGTAATTACATGAGATGCTCACACACATGAAAGCTCAGCTCCAGTGCTCAAACTGGTCAAGGCACCTGACTGATCTCTAAAGGGAAACTTTACCCACTGGGCTGCAACCAGCTTCCCTTGCTATCTCTAGTTCGTACTGTGTGGACACTGCAGAAGTTCTTCCATTTTAAAGATCACACATGTCATATTATGCAAAGCCTCACCCTGTCTGCTAAATCTGGCTCCTGGTTTTGTTTA